TGAGTGATTTGATTTTTTTTTTTACTTTCTTTTTTTTGTTTTGCTGTAGGGGTCAACAATCAAAAATTTAAATCTCACCTTTGGGCCCACCAATATCTAAGCTATAAGACCCTTCCTTAGATGTCCCTTATCCTCAAAGTTATGAGTCTTATCATTAAGCCTTTTATGCAATGTAAGTCCCAATCCATTGGTCGAGCTAGCATATTGTCAACCAGTCCATTAAACAAATCTCTCGCCTTGGCATGTTTCTAGATATCTTGAAGTTGTAAATCCCACATTTAGGCCTCTCTTAGCCTCAAAGTTGTAAATCTTTAGGCATATCTTCCATCATATTTATACGCCTAGCTTTCGGCCAAAATCGACATTGACATCAACTTGCAGTTAGTTATTAATCTTTATGTAGGTCTTCATGTGTGCTTTTAATTTTCAAAAAGAAAAACAAGCATTCCCCTAGTTTTGTGAGTTGTTTCTTTTCAAAAATCAATGTGTTGATTTATGCAATAAGTTCCCTGATTAGGGTATGCATGCAAAGTAAGCTCTTGTTGCAACTTTGGACCAATGCATATTGTATTCATCACCCATATTTGAGCTATCCCACTCTAATTGTAAGTCCCAGTGTTGAAATTTCTCCAATAGTTAGGATGTAAGTCTCACCTTTTAGCCTCACCATCATTAGGGATATATGTCCATCCTCATATGTCTCTTATCCTCAGAGTTGGGGCATATATATGTTGACATTGACATGCATCTAGCTATTAATTTCAGAACCTACACATTGTTAGCTTTTATTTCAACTTTGGACCGATATATGTTGTAGGATCTTAGTTAGGGCATATATATAATATATGTTGCAACTTGCAAGTTTTTCATTTTCAAACCGATTTACTAGGGTAAATTTGCCATTCACTAAAATAGATTACTTCTCAGTTTTATGGAAGCAAGCCAAACCCAAGTTGGCATAGGGCCTGTACTTGAGATAACTTGTCGATATAACATGTTGACATCTTCTATGTCGTTCAATTACCTCAAAAGTGATTGATCTCTAAGGATGGTTGTTCGATATGGACACTAACCTCAAAACAAAGAGTATAACCAATCATTTTCATGATCTGATTAGAATACTTCAATGGATGCATATCATGATTGCTATTAACCTTTGATCTTTGATAGATTAGGTATGGTAGCTATTTAGGCTGACGCCTTAAGTTTTTTTTTTTTTTAAGAGGCTTGCACCTCAGCTTGGCTGACCTCGCTTTGTTGGCGTGATGCATACACCTCAAAACTTATCTAAATCCCAAACTAACCCACAAGCCGCAATAACTTCCTTTTGACTACCTTGACCTCTAGTCCGCACGCCTTCCTGCGACCATCACCGTCGTAGCTGCCGTCAGGGATCACTTGAAAATAGCACACCACCACCACCTCCTTTAAAAAATTTTGGAGTATTATTCTCATCTTTATGCTTATGAAAAATACTTATGAAAGAGGAAGATGACTGAAGTAAATGAAGAAGAAGCAGATTGAGAGGCATTGAACTTCACAAGATGAGGCATGGGGAGAAACTAATTTGTTATGACGATGACTCAAATAAATACCTCCTTGGTAATGATAATGCATATTATTTATGAGTTGACAATTATTTCTAGTTTTAGTAGGAATTAAATGCAGATGAGTAGAGATCTTAGAAAGACGGAATTTTGAATTGAACTTAATATTATATGATACTTTTATACAATTCTAGGAAGTAGGGTGTCGTCAGAGGCGAGGGAATCCTTTGGCAACCTAGGAAGCAGGGAAAACTCTAATTTAATAAAACAAAGGGAAGATCAGGAAGTGGAAACTCAAAAAGGAAAAGAGAGTATGCCTCTCCTAGCGCTTGTTCTTATGGAGGAGCCGGGTAGAGGGTTTGGTGATAAGTGGGAGGAGGTAGAGCATGAATAAATGGGTGCTTAATTTGAGAGGAGAAGGGCGGAATTTGAAAGGGAAAGGTATAGTTATGACCGAAGGAGGGCTCAAAATGCAAGGAGAGGGATTTATTATGATCCGAGGGGTGCTGAATTTAAAACGAGATTGTGTGAATTTGATGAAAGATTTGGGTATAGGATAGAAGGGATGATTGAAACACTTGAGGGAACCACTTGCTTGGGGAGTGGAAAATTATGGAGGGAACCGAGGGAACATAGGCGATTCGAGGGTGTAAAAATTGAAGATACCAATCTTTGAGGGGGAGGATGTGCATGAGTGGATCTATAATTAAGGTAAAAAGATATTTTGCTATCAATGGCTTGACCGAGGAGGAGATAATGATGGTAGCGGGCCTATATTTAGAAGGGAAGAATTTGTCTTGGTACTAGTGGAGGGACAGGCGACGACCCATACAGAGTTGGAGAAAGTTCAAGGATTGTTTGGTAGAACGTTTTCAAATTGGCATGGGAGGAGACTTCTACGAGCATTTCTTCATCTTGACATAAGCTTATTCAATGATAGAGTAGCGAGAGAGGTTTAAGAACCTTGCTAGCCTATTGGACCGCCTTTCTGAAACCGTGTTAGAGGGGAACTTCATGAAAGGACTGAAACTAGAGATTCGGGGGGCAGTCAAAGTGATGAGGCCTCGTGACTTAGGCGAGGTTATGGAGCTAGCTCGGTTCGTGGAGGATCAGAGGCACCCAGAGAGAGAAACGGGAGGCAGTAGCTCAGTTGGCTCGTACAGGATGACCACCACCTTATTGGCATCTGAGGAGCCAATACTGGATACTCTTCGGGGGACTTCAAAGGAAAAGAATGCAGGAGGAAGACCTGGTGACAACTTCAAGAAACTCACAGAAAAGAAATTATAGGAGAAGAGAGCGAAGGGGCGCTATTTCAAATGTGACGAGAAGTATACTCTGGGTCACAAGAGTAAGGATCAAACTCTTTAGGTTCTTACCGTTTATGATGACGAGGGAATGGAGGACGGTGTTGTCTTTCCACCTTGCGAACTAGGTGGATCTTTGGGAGGGGAGTATTGTTAGACCGGTCCAGCCGGTCCATATAGAACCAACCCACGGGAAAAGAGGCGGAGAATGTCCGCCTCTTGCTCATGCCGTTCAAACCGCATGAGCCAGAAAACCTGATCAGAAAGTTTGGAGGATTTTAGGAGGAAAATTTGAAAGTAGGGGCTATTTAGAGATGTCCTTTCGGATTCTATGCATTAAATAGTTTGTTTTCATAAGGTTAGGGTATCTTGAATTTGGCTGAAAATTGGGATCACTTGGTTTTTTTTTTTTTGCTCTAGCGGCGTCTAGAAATTTGGGGGAGATTGATCCTCCTCTCGAATAGAGGATCAATTCTATCTTGTTATTTTTCTTTTGTTAGTTAGATTATTGCAATAAAATACTCTGTTTTATGGTTTTTCCATTAGTTTTGTGGATCGTTCTCGCTTTTTTTGTCTCTATTGTTAGGGTTTACTTGAGATATTCAAGTATTTCCTAACAGATTCATTCTCAAACATTCCCCTACCAGTAAGGATTTAATACTTATCCTCTACAGGTAAACGATTATGAGCAGGACTCTCTAATCAAATGATTTTTATCGCATATTGGCACTATTATATTACGGTCATTGTTAGACTCTTATGTTTCCCATTGACTAACACCCTGGAGTAATGAGTCATAGGGTAGATGTGAGAGGGCACAAATCCCTCTGTTAGCTAAGGTTGACTTGAATTTCACTTTTGAAAAATATCTATCCCAAGTCTATAAGGTATCTTTGGACGAAGCAACATATGGATTAAGAATATTAGGAGTCATTTGGCCAGGTTGCATAGTTACCTGCTCAGTGATTGATTTTGATTCTTTTGTACTCAGAATAGATTTCAGTACTGGTGATTGTAGTGTAGTTCCTGAGTATTGTACATGACTTTTGAGATATGAATCGACTTGTATATTGATGTTTTAAGTTTTATAGATGTTTGATAGACTGCTTAATTGAAGGTTTTAGATAACTCTGGTAAATTGTTTGAGTAATTGATCGACATTCTTTCCAAGTTTGATCTTGGGGCATCACAGTAGATTTGAGAGGGCACAAATCCCTCTGTTAGCTAAGGTTGACTTGAATTTCACTTTTGAAAAATATCTATCCCAAGTCTATAAGGTATCTTTGGACGAAGCAACATATGGATTAAGAATATTAGGAGTCATTTGGCCAGGTTGCATAGTTACCTGCTCAGATAAAGTATATTAGGAGTCATAATAATCCGGGAGGACAGAATCATGTGATTTTGATCGGGTTCATCATTTTCCCCTCACCATCCGTTTTAACTACAAGGTGGCAAATTTTTAATTATAAACATCAAATACTAAAAATCTAATAATGTTGCTATCATATGTCTATATAATGACCAACTTTAATTGAAAGTGCTTTTTTGTCATTGAGAGGGATAATTAATCATAGGGGCTTATGTCTATGAGAAATAGGAACTCAAATATTAAAATTCTTGCAAACGATGGAGAAATCTCTTTATAGTGTTTTACTTTAGCCTAATCTCCCTTCTAAAAATTTATCCTAAAACTCAATCTGTTAAAACACATCGAATCATGTGGAGAGGCTGGGGCATCAAATTTTCAGAGCTCACGATTCACTGGGACGACCTCAAACTATTTCATTAATAATGTCTCTTAAAGAATCAAATCAAATATTACATTTCCTAGTGACTCAGAAAAAAATTACTCTTCTGAAAATAACTTAGAGAAGCAGGTTTTGGGTGCTCATAGTGACTAGCCCCAGTTCTTTGACTAGTTTCAAAAATCAAATTATTCTTACCATCGTGATAAAAAAATAACTTCAACGAGAATAGATTTTACTCGAAGCTTTAAGTTGGAAGACTTTCTCCTTAATATCTTATCTGCATGTGCATATAAACATAAGCGCTATGAAGAGTTTGCGTTGCATGTTGATCCAATGTTAGTTGCTACATCAGAGGTGGTGGCAACTTCCTATGTTTATTTCCATGCGGAATTATTTTTTATTTCATTATTGCTTTTTTATGGTTGAATCTGTACCGAGTTCTCAACATGAATAAGAGAAAGCAAATGGAATTTGGATGTGTTTATTTACGTTTTTTTTTTCAATTTCCATGATAATTGCTGATGGATGGTCTAATCCCCATTTTTTTTTTCGAGGAGATGTAGGTTGCAGCTAGATTTGTGCAATCAAGGACTTCTAATAAACCACCGGAGATTTCATCAACCACTCCTTTACGAGCAATGCATGGAAAAAGCAGTTCATCTGTGGCGAACAAACAAATAAAAAGCAATAGAGGCAATATTTTATCTGGTATGCAAAATTCTCCATGAGTTCTCATGGTGCTTTCTTAATATAATTTTAGGTTTCGTTTCGGACAGTTTTTGGGTCCTATTTTTTTGCAACTTTTTTTTAAAAAAATTATGCTAGAGATCAGCTGTAGAAAGAAATAAAAAAGCTTCCCAAATGAAACCTTAATTTGTATAAAAGACGACAATACAGGCTCATAGGGGTTGTTTGCTATCGTATTTTATGCAGGATTTAAGCAGAGTTTACAAATTTATCCTCTCATTTATCTTAAATCGTGAAACAATCAGCCAAATAATTTATCAGGATTTCTCAAGATTTAATAATTATCATGTTAAATAGTTTTCATGTTTTTATCCTCATGAGGTTTACAAATCTGGATTTACAGCATTTACTAAATCCTGCTTGAGTTAAATCCTACTTATAGCCAAGCAACACCCAAAGATTGAAATCCCTACCTTCTATTGCATCTGTAAATTATTCTTAATTGCAGGAACTACGGCAAAGCAGCAAGCTGGTCCAGCTCTTAATAAAGCAAATAATGATCCAAGCATGGCCTCCAGGTCAATTCCATCAAAGCAGTCGAGCCTCCGCACACCTCAATCAGGCTTTAAATTAGTATCCGCTTCATTTTCTTCAGCAAGTCGCCCAGCCAGTACTTCCTCTGATTCAGCTTCATCTTGCCTCGGGATCATGAGGAATTCTAGTAGAAACACTGTTCGTTCTTCCTCTAGTTTTTCTAATAAAACAGTATCAAATTCCATAAGATGTAGAACTCGATCGACTAATCAAATCTCCAATTCTGGTTTAGTAGAGTCTACATTACTGCTCTCAAAGTTCTCTCCCAGTAGTTCTATAGACAGTTTTCCCTCAGAATCATCGTCACAGACATCTACTTCTACGAACCACAGCAACTTAATAAAAGCTAAGTGTGGGCTGTCTTCGTCCCCTGGCATGCCAGTTTCTACTGAGAATGGCGCCTCTCAGAAATCAGGTCTGTAGAATATTTTTAAATTCTATCATACAAACCTTAATAATGGTTTCTGTGTAAATGTTCAATGAAATACCGTCTTTGAAACAGGTGGTGCACTGTCTCAGTCATTTACTGGAAATCATTCTAAAATCACTTTAAAATTTGATTCTGATACAAAAGGAACTACATCATTAGGACTTCGGATGCCAAGGCCAAGAATTGGTTACTTTGATAAAGTTAGTCAATGTTACAGTCTTTTACAGTGTTCTTAACTTATTTTTACATTTTCTTTAGCTGATATGCTACATTTTTTTTATAATTTAAAGGAAAAAACTCTACTCCATGGCTCAAACAAATACCTACTAGCTAGCTTGAGGAGCAGTTTGACTAAGAGCAATGGGAATAGTGAGACTTCAGCAGCAAACAAAAGTAAACTCATCAATTCTCCCTCCGTAAGATCTGGAGCACATCCACATTCATTGAACCAGACATCAAAATCGACAGGGGGACAGATGGTTCTTCAGACTTTAGATAAATGTCAACTAGTTCCCGCTAAACTAAGGAAGGAATCTTCCCCTAGAATTGCTGAAGGAAACTGCAAAAGGAATTTGAAGAATAAAATAGAAAATCCAAATCTTCTTCAGCCTAAATATGTTATGGAAAATGCAATCCATGAAAGTGGGGAGCAGAAAATTAACGATCATTCATTCCTAACGAACATTCAGCAGGAGCATTTACAGAGTGAGCTGGTTTCAGTTACTGGTACAGAGAAGGAGAATTTATGCCCTGAATCAAAAACTGAATGGCAAAGCAAAGCTTTGAGGAATGAAGAGCAATACAACGCTGTACCTATGGGGGCGGAAATGGTATCTTCTTTTTCACTTTCTGAGGTAAAAGATCTCACCTCAAGAGAGTAATGGAAATTTGAATCTACATTTGCTGTTGGCTCATATATATGTAGTCAGGACAAGCATTTTTCAACTTGCAGTCTTAGATTTTTTTTTTAACGAAGAATCAGAGGTCAATCCAATAATATATATATATATATATATATATATATATATGGAATTAACTGAATTTTAATATCAGATGTAACATTCTGCTATATATGGAAGGGCTTCAAGATGATATGGTTGGATTGAATGGAGAATTTGTGGTCTGGAAGATGCAATTGCTAATTGCTTTTGTGATTTTTTTGTATTCCTGCATAAATAATTTCATGTCTGGCTGGAAAGGTTGTATCACTCATGTAGACATTTAGGAGTTATTGATTACAGTTTTACTTTGGCCAGGTATGGTGATATGCTTATTTGATTGTCTATATTGCTTTGGGATTAACATTTTTTTTTTTGGTGGAAAGATTTGAAATATATTCAGATTCTAATACGAGGCTTTCATAAGCGGAAAAGTTAACGTAAATAAGCAGAGGCCCATCTCTCCAGAAAGTTATTATTATCAGTATTATATTTATTATTTGAGGATTTTTTTCACGAATTTTAATGCATATCTTATTTCTTCAACTTCATCTTCAAATGTGTAGAATCATTTACAAGCTTGAGGACAATGGTTAAGTGAATGTTTAATTGTTTATTCAAACTAACAAATCCGATGAAGAATATAATTTCAGCGTATATATACTTGAGCCTTATGAAATCATTTTTATTTTCTATGATGATGCTTATTGGAAAGACGATGTTCTATAAAAATTATACAGGTCAAATAATAAACAAATTAAAGCACATAGTTGATATTGTTAGAAATATAAAACTTGCAATACAAATATTAGCAAAGAATGAAAACAGAGCAGAAGAAGTTGAGCTGCAGCAATAATAACTTTCATTCTACTCCTATTACTGTAGCACAACCCAATGGATATATTTATACACAAAGCCAGTAAAGAGAAGCAAATCAAGCCATTGAAGAGAAATCATTTTGAACGGTTGAGATGGAGTTGACTTGTTTGAGCACTTGAGTATTTTGGTTGTTGTTGTCAGATAGCAGAGGTAGTGACTTGAGTTTAGATAGTGATGTATGGTCAGCTTTTGAGCATTCTAGACTATAACCTTTATCAGCCTCCCTCAAATTAAGGATCCGAGAGCGGAGCGTTAATTTGTTGTGAAGATAACAAAATCGTTTTATCTGTAAGCCTTTTGTAAATATATCAGTAGGTTGATCTTCGGTGGCAATATGATGAATGATAACTGTATTAGCCTTAATGCATTCTCGAATATAGTGATGATATATCTCAATGTGTTTAGTTCTAACATGAAAAATAGGATTGTTAGCAAGGGAGATAGCTGAGATGTTGTGGCAATAAAGTGGTGTTGGCTGTTGTATAGTAAGTTGAAAGTCGGTGAGTAAGCGTCGTAGCTAAACAATCTCAGTGACTGCAGTAGTGAGAGCTCTATATTCCGACTCAGTAGAGGATCTTGCTATTGTAGCCTGCTTTTTGGTACTCCAGCTGATGAGAGTTGCACCAAGAAAAATACAATAACCAGTAGTGGAATTGCGGTCCTGCTTGTCTCCGGCCCAGTCAGCATCAACAAATGCAATGAGTTCATGTTTGTCGGTTGTAATTGGTAAGACTAGATGAAGAGTGCCTTGAACATACCTCAATATGCTTTTAAGTACTTTGAAATGTTGATTTAAAGGAGCATGCATGTGCTGACATACCAAATTAACATCATAAGACAGATCCGGACGTGTGAGGGTAAGATACTGGAGAGATCCAGCAATACTTCGGTACATATGAGGATCAAAAAAAGGGAGTAAAGCTTCTGGGGAGTGATCTGGTTTGCTAGAAACTGGATTTTGAAGAGGCTTGCAAGTGGCCATACCAGCTTTATGCAGTATTGATTTGGCATAATCGTATTGATGCAATAGGAAAGTAGAGGATGATTTGTGAACTTGTAAGCCAAGAAATGTGTGTAAATGACCCAAATTTTTAAGTTGAAAGTTGTTATGTAGATCTTGTAAAAGTTGAGAGACTTTGCTTGAACAATTACCCATAAGCAAAATGTCATCTACATATATGAGCAAATAAAGAGAGGTAGTGGTTGAGGAGTAAACCATAAATGATGGATGTGCACTGCTGAATTTAAATCCCCATATGAGTAGATAATTAGTAAACGTGGAGAATCATTGACGAGGGGCTTCTTTTAGCCCATATATAGCCTTATTTAACTTCCAAACATATGTGGGATGTGAAGGATCTTTAAAGCCCATAGGTTGTTCCATATAGACATCCTTAGTAAGCTTGCCATGCAGAAATGCATTGGAAACATCAAGTTGATTAATTTGTTAATTGTTGTTGAGAGCAATTGTGAGAAAGGCACAAATTGTTTGAAATTTCTCCACAGGATTGAAAGTTTCGATAAAGTCCAGTCCATACTCTTGTTTGTAGACTTGAGCTACAAGATGTGCCTTATATCTTGCTACTTAACCATCATCACAAAACTTGGTTCGAAAGAGCCATTTGCAGCCTAAGATATTCATATGAGGATGTGTAGGAAGTAAAGTCCATGTGCCTTGTGTTTGTAATGCCTGGAACTGCTCAGACATAGCATTTATCCAATGAGAATGCTTAACAGCTGCAGTATAACAGGTGGGATCCTGTGGAAATGAGGTAGTATGCAGCAGGTTAAGGAGAGAACGGGGTTTGAGATGACCCCGTCTGAAACCTTGGAGGAGAAGACTGTAAGGGAATTGGGAAGGAAGAGTTGGATGAGTTGGTCTAAATGTTTGAAGATGAGTTATGAGGCGATATTGGTACAGGAACAGAACTTTGTGAGGATGAGCTGGGTAAGGTAATATGAGAATCTTGAGCTACAGGTGTAGAATGGCTGGGTATGGATGGAACAAGAGTAAGTGGAGGAACAAAACTTGTTGATATGTTTGTATATGCAAGTGATGTGGTGGAGATTGTAGAGGATTTTTGATAGGGAAAAATATTTTCCTAAAAAACTGACATGGATCGAGGTGGTTAGTTGGCCAGTGGAGATATTATAGCAAAGATAGCTTTTTGATGAATTTGAGTAACCCAGGAAGATAGATTTCATAGATTTAGGAGCAAGTTTGTGATGTTTATGTGGGAGTAATAAGGGATAGCATTGACAACCAAAAACTTTGAGAAACTGATAATTTGGTTGTTGATGAAAAGGAATTTCATAATGAGATTGATTAGAAAGATTGTGTGAGGGAAGACGATTTATTAAGTAAACCGCTGTTAGAGTGGCATAGCCCCAAAATTGATATGGTAGACTTGCGTCAATAAGCAAAGTTCGAGTTGTTTCAATAATGTGACAATGTTTTTTTTTTTCGGCTATACCATTTTGTTGGGGAGTGTATGGACAACTTAATTGGTGTTGTATGCCATGATGTAGAAGAAATTCGTTAAAAGATTTATTAAGGAATTTAGTTCCATTATCTGTACGAAGTACAATAATCTTCTCACCAAATTGAGTTTTAAGATGTTGTTTAAAATGTTTAAAGTGAGTATATGTCTTAGTTTTTTTAAGCATTGGATATAGCCAAGTAAAACGAGAAAAATCGTCCACGAATAACACATAGTATTTAAATCCATTAAAGGAATATATAGGAGATGGACCCCAAACATCCGCATGAACAAGTTGGAGTGGTTTTGAGGTAGACAAGGGAGATAAGGAAAAACTAGTTCTATGACTTTTTGACTGAAGACATGAATTACATACAGACTAAGTAGAAGATACTATAGAAGAAAACACAAGATTTTGAGCTTCAATAATGACTGTAGCTGCAGCATGCGGATGTCCTAGCCGTTTGTGCCATATTGAAGACGTTGAAGGAGATATGAATGCTGAAGTGGTGGAAGGATTGTTGTAGGTGATGGAGATAGAATATAGACTTCTACGGCTGGGACCTCGAAGGAGAGTGGAATTGGTCTTCAAATCCTTGATTTGGAAATCATGAGGATCAAACATAATAGAGCAATTATTATTAGAGGCTAATTGTTTGACTGAGAGAAGGTTTTGAGTTAGATTATCTACATGATATAAAGGTGATAGAAGGAGCTTACGAGATGGTGTTGGCAATAGTCCTTGACCTGAAGCTGCTATTGGTAAGTTCTGTCCATTTCCCACAGTAATTTGTAGTGAACCATAATAAGGTTGTGCAGCTTGAATTTGAGACAAATCAGATGTAAGATGTGATGAAGCTCCTGTATCTAAATATCAGTCTGAGGTACCAGGTTGATTGGATGCAGTAAGAGCCAAATTTTGCTGAGGTTGATAGCTGAGTTCTGTCCGATACCAGCAAGTAGCAAATGTGTGACCGCATTTAAAACAATTTTGGCATTCTAGAGTTCGATCGATGGAGCGCATTCCTCTGCCTGGTTGTCTTCCTCCGTGTGTATAGGAACGACTGTGCCCACGAAAAATGCTGCATATGATCTGCCTCTTCCACGGCCATGAACAGAGGTTAGAGCAGTAGGAGGATTTTCAGTATCCTGGATATGAGCTTCTTTAAGAGATTTCGCAGCTAAATTAATCTCTTCATTGCACAGTAAAACATACACATCATCCAAATGAATGGGATGAAGCTTAGTTCTAATGGAAGTTTTGAATGCATTATATGTAGCTGGTAAGCCATTAAGTGTATATAAAATAATATAGTTAGTGTCAATAGAACTTCCTGCAGTAGCAATGGCGTCCACTTTGGCTTTAATTATCGACAGATACTGGATCATAGACATGTCCTTCATAGTAAGATGATGTAGCTCATTTTTGAGTTGAAATATTCGCGATCTGTTGGTCGACTGAAGTCGTTTGTCTAAAGTTGTCCATACTTCATGACAATTATTAAGATTTAGAACATATGGTAGCAGGGAGGTAGAGATAATAGAGTATAATGCAGCAGTAATATTTTGATCAATCAAATCCCACTGATTATTTGCAGGATTTGGCGTATGAGTGTTGCTCAAACTCACAATATGTTTGTTTGGAGCAGGTATAGATCCATCTAAGAAGCTAGAGAAACCGTTAGCTTGAAATACTTTTACGACTTGTGCTCTACAAGTGGGATTATTCTCTGTAGTCAATGGATTTTGAACAATATTTTTGATATTGTTCATCAAAAACTTAAGGGCAGCAGGAATCTGAACTTCAGCCAATGAGTTATAGCTGAAAGTTATTGCAGGTGATACAGAAGGTGAGACAGTGGAAGAATCTGTTGAAGACGTCATCGCTCCGGAGCAAGAAAACATTGTTGATAAGTAGATTTAGCTTTGTAGCAGAGGCTCTGATACCATATTAGAAATATAAAACCTGCAATACAAATATTAGCAAAGAACGAAAACATAGCAGAAGAAGTTGAGTTGCAGCAATAATAACTTTCATTCTACTCCTATTACTGTAGTACAACCCAATGGATATATTTATACACAAAGCCAGCATAGAGAAGCAAATAAAGCCATTGAATAGAAATCATTTTGAACGGTTGAGATGGAGTTGACTTGTTTGAGCACTTGAGTATTTCGATTGCTGTTGTAGTAGAGGTAGTGACTTGAGTTGAGATATTGATGTATGGTCAGCTTTTGAGCATTCTAGACTATAATCTTTATCAGATATGAACTAGAAGGTGAGAATTAAATTGCTAACTTTTGGGTAGGGATATCAATTTGAGTTCATGTATTCGGTCAGATTCCAATTTGATTCAATAGCGATATAACTAATTCAAAATTAACTCGTTTGATAAATGAGTAAAAATTTTGAACTTAGTTACGACATGATGCAATCTAACTTAACCCAATTTTGAATTTGACCCAATCTTATTTGAAATATATTGAAATTGAGCTGAGTAAGTATCAACCTGATTTGATTGCCTAATTTGAACATGTTAATTTAATAAAAATTAAAAATTATATGTAATTTAATAATAATCTCTCAATCTAAAAGAACTAAACATTAAATTATTATTTTTGATTAACCCAAATTTAACTCAAATTTCATTTCAGTTAGTTGACATTATTGATGACAGAGGTATCGAAATCCTCCTATAATGTTGAAAGGATAACGATGGAGAGAAACTGAAGCGAGCGGACTCTAAGAAGGCCCATGATAGAAAGTGTGCCAATGCTAATTCTTTTTTAGCAAGAAAAAAATAACTGAATTGAATTATTATATTGGGTCTAATATTGGGCAAATTATTGCATCCGGTCACCGGTCGCGGAAAATAAGTTCGAACATCTAATACAAATTTGCCGCATCATCTGCACTTTTGACCACGCTTTTGTCTTGCGCTTTAGTTAAGCTTTACCTACGCTTTACCTACACTTTGGCTGCGCTTTACTTGCGCTTTTGACTACACTTTTGACTTGCACTTTAGTTGCGCTGTGCCTGCGCTTTACCTGCGCTTAACCTGCGCTTAATTTAAAATAATATTTTATTAATATTCAGACTTATCTCCACGTTCGGTGACCAGATGCAATAATTTGCTCTAATATTGACACATATGCCCTATGTGTCTTCTTACTTTAAAAGAGGCTATAACGATACTCATCTACAGTCAATAATTCAATGGGGGCGATCACTAGCGATTTCTTTGATCAGCTATCCAAACAATTAAATTATAGACTTTTCAAGTCAT